GGACACTGCTGGGGACAGGGGACACTGCTGGGGACAGGGGACACTGCTGGGGACAGGGGACACTGCTGCGGACAGGGGGACACTGCTGGGGACAGGGATCGCATTTCAGGTAGAAATGTCCTGGAGGTTGATGTTAACCATCCTGAGTTGGTAACTGCACTGGGAGTTTCTGAATGTACAGCACACCTTTCAAATCTTGTTTTTCCATGTTCAGCCATCTCTGGAAGAGACAGATCAAATTCATTCCTTGTGAAAAATCATCTCATAATTCTGTTTCGTGCAAGAAGTTGAAGTCTTCTTGTATATYCTTTTTTTTTTTCTCTTAGATCCAGTAACAGTAAAACAAAAATACCATTGACAAAAATGAGTTTAATTTCCCTTACTGTTGCTTTTCCTGATAATACATTTCCAATTATGTGTCCTGTGAGTGTTAGAAATTGTGGAATCCCAGAATGATTTGGGTTGGAATGGACATTAAAACCCATCCATGCCACCTGTGCCATGGACAGGGACACCTTCCAAGCCTTGTCCAGCCTGGCCTTGGACCCTTCCAGGGATCCAGGGGCAGCCACAGCTTTTCTGGGCACCCTGTGCCAGGGCCTCACACCCTCACAGGGAGGAATTTCCTCCTAAAAACTATGCCTCAGTGTAATTTCCACTTGACATCCATTTTTTCTAGGTAAAAATCCAGCCAGAAAATGAAGGGCAGAAGGGAATGTGGGGCTTTTGAACCCTTCAGTCTAAATACAGTTTGCTCAAACATACTTCTAAATAAAAGAGCAGCAGAGAGAGACATGTTTGGCATTTTTGTTTAAGTATCTGCAACTGCCTGCTCTGTCAAGAGCCAGAAGCCCCTTTTTCTGATTTAGTACAAATRCTGAGTCTTAGCGAGCACTTTGACCAGGAATGGCAGCAACAGGGCTGAGTTTTGTTCCTGCTGGAGAATTGAAGAGTTGTTTGCCTCCTTCTCTTTTGTGTCCAGCAACAAAGAATGTCCCACATGTCGCAAGAAGCTCGTCTCCAAGCGCTCCCTGCGGCCAGACCCCAACTTCGACGCTCTCATCAGCAAGATCTACCCGAGCCGGGATGAGTATGAAGCTCATCAGGAGAGGGTGCTGGCCAGGATCAGCAAGCACAACAACCAGCAAGCCCTGAGCCACAGCATCGAGGAGGGATTAAAGATTCAGGCTATGAACAGGTACATAATCACCTCCTTTGTCCACGTGTGCCTTATTTGCCTTTAGGCTAAAAATACACAGCCTGTCCACACACCCTGTGGAGCTTGAGACTCATCTCCTCTYTCCTCTCCTCCAAAAGAATTTTTAACCTTTGGCAAAAGAATTTTTAACCTTCTATCCACTAACAGAAACCTTTGTATCAGTCYCTGTAATCTCTGCAACAGCCTGATAAAGACTTCGGCTGAGCTTGACCAAATTCTGGCTGTGGTATCCTAAATAAGAAACTGCAGCACAATGAATCCTGTACCACAATCTACCCTTACATGCCAATAAATGCAGTTAATAGCAGGACTTAGGGGGCAACTCAATTCACAGGCTGGAATAAGTGGGGATTACACAGTGGTGAAATTCCAGGTGTGCATTTAACCTAAGAGAGCCAGCTGGGAAAAAGGCCCTAAAGTTTGCTGTGGTAAAGCATGGTRGGATTTATAATTTTAATCACACGTGGATCTGTGCTTGGATGAAAATAATGGTCTGCAATTGCCTGAAAAACAACTGGGTGAAGTTAAAATGGCCTTAAAACATTTAAAAGCTGTTTGAGGGACTGGAAAAAATGAATAGTCTTGTCATTTGCTACGAAAGAATTAATATTAGTGATTCTTTAAACTTCAGGCATCTCTGAAAGGTGCAGTGCTCATGTGTGCACATGCCCCACTGTGGGTGTGCTGTGCCCTGGTGGGGTCAGGGTGTGTCTGTGYCCCCGTGTCCCCAGGTTGCAGCGGGGCAAGAAGCAGCAGATCGAGAACGGCAGCGGCGCTGAGGACAACGGCGACAGCTCRCACTGCAGCAACGCCTCCACGCACAGCAACCAGGAGGCAGGGCCCAGCAACAAGAGGACCAAAACCTCGGATGATTCGGGGCTGGAGCTGGACACCAACAACACCACAGTGGCCATAGACCCCGTGATGGAYGGGGCCAGCGAGATCGAGCTGGTGTTCAGGCCTCACCCCACCCTCATGGAGAACGACGACAGCGCGCAGACGAGGTTGGTGTGCCCTGGCCATCTCCTGGCCTTCTGCTGCTCTTCCCTGGTGCTTTGGCTTCTGGTACTTCTTGGGGTTTCTAAACATCCATTTACTTTGATTATACCACATCCTGTCTAACCGTGTCACAGGATGGTTTGGGTTGGAAGGGACACCTTCCACTATCTCAGGGTGTTCWAAGCCCCAGTGTCCAGCCTGGTYTTGGACACTCCAGGGATCCAGGGRCAGCCACAGCTTCTTTGGGCACCCTGTGCCAAGGCCAGATGCAAATAAGCACAAGTTAGGTAGATGGTACTGCTCAACTATTATAAAAAATACAGCAAAATAAGCTGTTTTAATCCTTCGATCACAAATAAACATGTTTTTATGGTTTACTAACATTGCAGTTCACTAGTGGGGTGGTGGTCTCTTATCAGCCCCTTTCTACTTTAAGGTTCTTTGAGAATAAACAAGCCTTGTGTGTCAGCAGTTTTCAGAGCAGCTTTGTATCAGCAGGATTTGCAGGCTGGAAGCTTTTCCTGCTGTTTTTTTGTTTGTAATCCAGTCCAAGCACAGGCTGAAAGTTTTGGCACCCAGCAGAGTAGTGTTGTGGTGTTTCCTCAGGTCTGTTCYTGGCGCTCTCTGCTGATGAGACATCTCTGTGCTGGGTGTAAATCTGTGAGAAGCTCCAGCTGGGAACTGTCCCTAAAGGCCTTTTCCCAGCTGACATTTACTGTTTGGGGTGTTCCAGATGGCTTTTTCCCACASCTGCTGCTCAGCCATGACTGATGCTCTTTGTGGCCACTGTCACAGGTACATCAAGACCTCGGGCAATGCCACAGTGGATCACCTGTCCAAGTACCTGGCGGTGAGGCTGGCCCTGGAGGAGCTGCGCAGCAAAGGCGAGTCCAACCAGATGACCCTGGACACGGCCAGCGAGAAGCAGTACACGATCTACATCGCCACGGCTGCCGGCCAGTTCACTGTAAGCACCGCCTCCATGCACAGCCCTGTGCTTAGCTGCTCCAAACACACCCAGCTGGGCTTTCCCCARCTGCCTGGGGTAAAACCCATGGCACCATCTCAGTCAGGAGCACATCAGCTGTTTTTGGCAAAAGCTTGGTTGGTAGAAATGGAGCCGTAGAAATCAAGTGGGGAAAACCCAGTGGTGGCCCCAACACGGCTTATGCCATTCTTTTACAGTTAAAATTGAAGAGGGAAAAATATTACTTCACTTGAGAATCTATGGGGTTTTTAGCTTAATTTGTGCCACATGATCGGTGACTCCTTCAACACTTTGGAGCATTAAGTAGCCTGTTTTGCAGCATGATAGCAGATTTACCTCATTCATTCCCATTTGTTCTCTCCTAGGTGTTAAATGGGTCRTTTTCCCTGGAACTGGTCAGTGAGAAGTACTGGAAGGTGAACAAACCCATGGAACTGTACTATGCCCCCACCAAGGAGCACAAATAAGTCCTGGGAACTGGGATGGGACTAACTTTTTGTAGCTATGACTCGTTTAATATTAAAATAAGGCACCGGTATCTTCATGGACAGCACATGTGGCGCCTTCAGGCACTCTCAGTACCCTCAGTAACATGACTAGACAGTATTCTGGGCTGTATTTAATTTAGTCTTTGGGTTGGGTTTTTTGGTTTTTCCCTAGGAGACTAAATGACCTGCAGTGCATTCCAGTGTTTGAGATGCTTTTTTGTTCCTAATGCATGACACCTGATACAGTAATCTGGTTTGGAATGGCTTTGTTTTGTCCAGGTGAATCTGGATTTCTGCTCCACTGGACTCAGTTCCAGTAACCTCTGTGAAGTGTGGAATGTTGGGTGGCCGAGCAAATCTGTTCCATAGCAGCACATGCCATGGAATGTRTTCAGTGTTGGAATTTGGTGACTGTTACCCATCTGAAGAATTGATAGGTAGAGAATGGATGGATCTGGGATACTCTTGCAGCTTGACATAATCAGATTCCCTAGGAAAGGTTCATGAAGTCATTTTCTTGTGAAAAAAGTGCATTTCACACCTTGTGACAGGTATTGCTGCCCATGGCAGGGGCTTGGACAGAGATGGTGTTTAAGGTCCCTTTCCAAGTCGAGCCATCTGAAAGTTCTGGGATTCCAAACAGAGCTGCAGTGAGAAAACTGACACTTTAAAACCTTTGTTTACTGGGCTCAGTTTAATACTTCAGTGCAAGGTGGTTCATTGGATTGGTCTGGTTTTTAATATTCCAGTCAGAAAACACCCTAACATCCCAAACCCATAACTCTTCCCCATGCAGGACATGTCAATCTTGATTCCTGCTTGGCCTCTATTGCATTGTTGCCCTGTCCTTGAAGTTTAGCTGAAGCAAATCTGGCTGTTTCACAGCCCTACTTTGTTGCCTAGAGTAGGGTCTCTGTTGTGAAAATGAGCTGTGAAGAACTGTCCAGAAAACCTTTTTGTTACAATAAATCCCCCAAATTCCAGCACATGGCCATCCAGATGTTTTGCTTTGGGGAACTGTGCCACCCCAGCARGGACCTTTTCCTGGTGGCAGTGTGAGTAGGAACACTTTGTAAGCTGCTCCAAGATTCTACTTTTGTTACTTTGCCATAGCTTTAACAAACGTGGCTTAGCACTTTGGAAGAYAACTTTAGTACTTGACCAAGTTTACCATTTAGTGTCTTACGCTTCGGTTCCAGTTTCCCATCGTGCAGTGGCTGTGCTCTAAGGCCCAGTAGCTGCTGCTCATTTGCATGTTCAGCCTCTGTGCCCTGGCTCTGGACCTTGCTGTGGCTCTGAGGGGGCAGCCTGACCTGTCCTCTGTCCTGTCTGAAGGGAAGCTGTCACCATGAGGTTCCCTTTGCTCTCAGTCTTGCTGATGAACCCTCCCATTTGCCCACGAGGYTTGAAGAAAGAAGAGTTGGTGGCAGGTGGGAACACCAGGTTTTACCCCACAGGCTGTGCTTTTCACTGCTCCTGTGTCCTGCCTGGAGTCCCCCTGGCTTTGGCACGTGGTAGAGAACTGTTCTGCTGCTTGGGGGTTCTCTTGGGAAGGATTTGTCCTTCCCTGGCTCTGGGCTTTCCTCTCACTTACAGTGTCCCTTCTGGCTGCTGTTCAGATCAGCTTTATCCCGCTGTGAAAACTGCACAGGCTTCTTTGAGTAACTCGGTTATTCTCTCGGACTGGAGAGCCTTGGGTTTTTGTGACATGAAATGGAAGTATTGAGGCCCCAGAGCACAGAGGGGCAGCTGTTAAGGGACCTGGTTTTGCTGACTTTGTGAAGCGTTGCTGTATAGACTGTAGTGCATGTCCATGGAATATTAGGGGGGTGGGGGAACAGCTGTTCTAAATGCTTTAAAGTTATTGGRGAAACTTCTAGATTAGTGCCAGCACCCCTCCTGGGGAGAGCTGAGGGGATGGACAGTCCCTTGAGCAAGAGAAGTGTTGTGAAGCTGAGCAGTCTGTCTAGGAGCCGTCTGTCACTTTGTCCCCAGTTCTTTTAAAAAAGCGTGGGAGAATGTGAAGCTTTTATTTTCATGTTGTAGTGAATTTCCTAAATATTTATGTTCTTTAAATGTTATATATATAATGTAGTTGTTTGATTAAACCATTGATTGCACTGTGACTCTTTAGTGCTATAAACTATTTTATTTTCAAAATGCCATTACTCTTCCCCCTTTAAAAGCCATGTTCTTTTGTAAGTACATGATATGTGTACGGGTAAGCCTAATATCCAACTAAAGTCCCACTGAAATGTCCAAATTGACAATAAAAGCAAAAAAATGTAAACAACCTGTTGGGAATTGCAGTGCTGCTTGCTCCTGTGGCTGCTAAAGGAGCCCTGTGGGCAGTGTTTGTGTTGGTGCTGCTGTGCCTGGGGCTGTGCAGGTGCACTCTCYGTCCCCTGAGAGCAGCTCCTGGGCCTCGAGTGAGAAATAGGGGCACACAGAAGGTATCAGCTCTTCCAGTGACCTGTGTAGCTCCTGTATTCCTACCCACTCCTACAGCCTGACGAAGGGGGATGAAGAATTTGCACAGCACTCGGACTAAGCCCAGCAGCTTTGGGTGCATTGAACTAYGGAGCAGCTTCGGTACAGAGCAGTGGAGGGCCACTGTGATGAACCCCTGCAGTGAAGGTGCATTATTTACACAAGTGATGTTCCTTTCCTTGTTTTCTCTCTGCCACACCTTTAACTGGATTATGCACCCTGAGGTAAGAGGTAAAGCTTGTGGATGTCCAGAATGGGGCTTCTTGAGATGTACTGACCATGAGCACTCTCTGAGGAGATCCTGCTGCTCTGGGGCCACCACTGATGCCCCAAGTTGTCTTTGAACAGCTTAAACTGCCTGAAAGAAACTCCCAGTGGGTAGGAGGACATGTCCCTCAGGTACAGAACACCGGGGGTGACACAGAACTGCCTACACTGGTACCTGGATAATACCCTATAGCAGAATTTTCCATTGTTCTCTGGCATTGATTTTCCAACCTGCTGTCCAGCTGATASCCTTGCACTCGTTTCCAACCCCTAGGCTTCCAGAAGTTGATCARTTCTGGTTTTCTGTTCAGGACAAGCCACTTGCAGCAACACCTTGATCCAGCAAAGGTCGTTCACTGGTGCCTGGCACAGCACTGGGTACTGGCTGCTTCAGGAAGTGACAGTGAAGGAGCTGTGACCTTACCACCACGTCCTGCATTATTCTCACCTATTTCCCACTCTGTGTCCCACTGCAAGAGCCAACCTGGCTGTGTGGATCAGCACAAGGAAGAACAAAATGCCCCAACTCAAGCCTCAAACCACCACAAATGTTCTGCCAGCTGATTGTAGCAGCACTTGCCCCTACCTGGGCAACAGCAGAGACAAGTGATGAATACAAGAGAATTCCCAGAGGCCTGAGTTACAAACACCCCTTCAGCTGGTCCCTTACAATAGGCAAAACGCCTCACCCCAGATCACCACAGCTTCTACCCATTTGGCACAGGAAAAAAACCCGGATTGTACAGACAAGCCCGAATTTCACCTTTTCTGCCCCTGCAGACACATGGGAATGGTTGCCTTGGCTTGGAAAAGGTATTTCAATACCTTCTGCTCCTTAACAGGAGYTGCAAGAGTAATCAAAAGCAATTCCCACAAGGGGCTTCAGTTAAACTTTCTTTTTAACCTAGTTCACTGTAATCAGAACAATCCTTTGCCCCAGGTAACTGACTTTAGGACTGAATCTATCCTATTAACACTGAAGTGTGTTACCTGCAAGCCAAGTCTGCCAACACTATCCACTTAAAAACCCAAAAATGCCACTAGGGAATGTGAAATTCTCTTCCATTTAGCCTTCCAGTGTGATCCCCAGGTAAGCTTTGGGAAAGAACTGTAAGCACTACATTCCTGAAGGAAACTTTGTTGCTGTATCACTGATCCAAGATCCCTTCAGTGGGCTCCTCCTTTTTGAAATTAAAGAGAATTTCTAACTCGCCACCAACGCAATCTGAAATTGAAGAGGGTTGAAGAGGCAGCAGCCTCTTCAGGCCTCCTCAGGCCTGACAGGAGCCTAGAAAGGTTTGCATCATCAGGAGTGTACCAGTGCTGTTACTTTTATTGTGAAGCTTCAGAGATGGGTAAGGATATTAAACTCTCATATTGTGCTTAGATAAACCTAAGGCTGGGGGTAGGGCTGAAAACCAAACCTGTGAGAAATACAGAGACACCCGACCCAAGTGYGGGGCAAAGGAAGGACAGAGGCAAGCTCATTTGGCTGGAATGCTGCCATGTATTTAAGGAAACCAGACCTGACTGCCAACAGGCGGCAGCTTTGCTCGTTCACAGAAGAGATCTCGGCTCAGTTACTACTGACAACTCGCCATCAAACTTCACCTGAACTGTGTCCACTGTGGTCCCTTGTCCCTGTCTGCAGCACACAACCACTTTAAGCTCTGAGCAAACAACTACCTAGAATGACTACACAACTCACTAAGGTTTGGATACAAACTGAAGGTCGGTAGCAGCCGTGTCACCACTTCTTCCCGTTCTCCCGGGATCAAGTCCTGCCTGAAGCCAGAACCCTAGAAACACACCTGAATGCAGAATTACCWGTGCAGCCTGGAGCTACAGGTGCACCCAGGCAGGACTGCCTGGCTGTAATTCCTGTGCTCTTACCTTAACATGCCCTCCCTCTGAATCGCAACTGGCCAGGTGTTAGGAAAGACGCATTTTAGGAATATGCTGTCTCACGTTAATCTCACATTCCAAAATGCTGAAAACTTTTGGCCCTGTCCACCCTCCTGGATGCTGTGCTGGCAGTAAKGCATGGACAGACTGGGAAGTGGCCTCCATGCCTCAGTGTGAAAGGGAAGTGAGCACAACAGCGGGTAACTCCATGCCTTCCCACAGTGCCAGCTCTGTGACTGCAGCCACRCTGGGATCAGGGCTACGTTCTGCTACCTACATCTAAACCGTCCCATTCAAGCACAACAGGCAGCTCAAATGGTCAAACTCCAGCTTGGGAGGAAGGAGTGGCTTATTGGAACAGGGTGTGCTGGAAATCTGTTAACATCCTGATGAACAAACCCGTCTGCATCAATCAGCTGTGCTGTGGCTAGGGCAGGACAGTGTGAGCACAGTGGCAGCCACTCTGGATTCATCTTCCTCAGCCTCCTCCACCTTGATCTCTGCAGCAGCTGGAACCTCTTCTCCCACCCGGATCTCCCCAGGGAGGTGCACAGGGCCTTCTGCCTGTGGCCCCACGTAGGTGGGAGTGCTGTACTTCATGAGAACAGTCTTGAACTGCGCCAGGGGTGCGCTGGTGCGGACTCCCATGGGGTCAAAATGGGTTCGGCTCACGCGGTACCCAGCCTCCGACAGATAGGTCAGGAACTTATTTAACCTGGGGAGAAACCCAGTGAAACCAAAGGCAGGCATTTCAAACAGCCTCAGCAGAAGCACATTCCATGCTGGAACGTGAACCCCCACTTACTTGGGCATGTTCATCCCCTTGATGCTATGCCTGTGGATGTTGTAGTAGAACGGGGGGTGCTCGGCACTGTGCTCACCCCGCTGCCGCTTCGCCGTGCCACGCAGCACCTCCTCACTTTTCCTCTTCCCTGCATCACCAAAAAATGCCAGAGAAACCACTCAATGCTCAGGGAGACCCCCCAAAACTGCCAGTAAAGCGTCAGACAGTACAAATAAAAACAAAGGCTCACAGCAACTTCTGTCTGCAGCGGTAAAATGTGTCCTGAATTAATAGGCCATTTTCAGTAGCAACAAGTAAATTAAACTGGCCTTCATGGAGATTTTGGCAATCTGCTTTTACCTATAAATATGATTCTGGATAAAGATGAAATATAATCAGGAGTCTTTTCCTACCCAATACTGAGTGCAAGTATTGTAAATTWAAAAAAAAAAAAGCTGCATAAAAATGCTCCACTTACCATGAACCAGATAGGATTCTGCAGAAGTATTCTGTGTTTTAATATATACACCACACTCTTCTAAAATAGAATTAGAAGGCAAAGTTAATTATACTGTTAAGTGGCAAAATGCTTTAATTACACAGAAGGAAAAAAATTCAATTATTCAATAATGCATTCAACACTATGGCTACACTGCAAATAAGTTATCACAGATCAACACTTCCAAAAATCTCCACAAAGCCAGTCCTCTCTGTGAACAGGCTGCCCTTTTCTTACCTTGTTTGTTCTCATCACCAGGACTGTGGGTAGAAAAATGTTTTAGAGTTGTGCACTCTGCTTCACAGACTAATGTCTTCAGAAGAGGCTGAGCTTCATCCAAGCCATACTGCACAGCCTCCAGCAGCATTCTCCTGAGGAATCCAGTGTTAAACAGAGGTCCTGACCTACCAAAGGCCAAGAAGACAAAAGTTAAGATTTCTTAATGAAAGCTGCTCCAAAATTCTCAGCCCCAAATTAATTACCAATTATGTTACACTGAGCTGATTTTTCTGCAGTAGCATCTGTCTTGCTGGGGAAAAAAATATCAGTATCTCAAGAACAGTCATTTTATTACTACCCTAAGATTCTGAAGAAGTCATTCAACCCCCACAAGAATAGTACTGTTAATTGCCAACTATTTTTAATACTGACCTGAAATGGCTAACAGACTTAAAAACATTTGTTCTTGTTTCTACAAGTATTAATTATCAAGCACCGTAGTATTTATTGTCATCACCACATGTAATGATTTACTAAATAAATTCTTCACAAGTATAGAGTAACAAGAGTCGCTTAATATTTGGCACTAGAGGAACACAGAGGCATGTTCTCCTGTGCAGAATGTGTTGCATAAGTACAGTGAAAGTGAAATTTAAAACATTTTTTATTATATATTAACTGGTTTAAATAAAAGCAAAAGCTGAATCCCCGATTAAATTCAAATCCACGCTCAGTTCCCTGAATTCTTCCTTATTCCAAAGGCTGTACCTTTGTTAAAATAAAAATCRTTACAGCATGAACAGGTTAGCTTCAGAGCTCCTGGACCCAAACCTGACTCTCCAAATGCGTCCTGGGATGTGAACTTACCAGAGGGGACCGAGAAGCACTGCTGTCTTCCCAGGCATGCTGCCRTGGCAGTCACAGGGCAGCTGCTGGTAGGGGTTTTCTGCAGCAGAAAAAAAGCAGTGGAGTTATTTGGAAACAGCCAGCAATGCCTGTGATACTGCAGAGACAAAGAGGTGCAGTGGGAGCTCACTTCAGTGAGGTGTGACACCATTTTCACTTCTGTCAGGTAGCTCATGGTGAGAATTTAGTGACTAATAACTTGCTGTGTTTCTTTCAAGTAACAAGGCAATTATTTGCCTTCCTACCCTTACATAAGCAGCTGTCCAGGTTAAAAGCAAATACCAACTGAAAAATCTGAAACATCAGCCAGTTACATCTGCAAACCACACTCCCTCTGTGAGTCTTCTGAGCCCTGTGCAATTAAGGCATTAAGCAAACAATTCCTTACTCATTAAGATCTCCACCATAACACAGCACTCATACTCATCCTTAACAATTTTATCTCGTTTTTAAACAAATTTTTAGTACCAGCCTCATTGCATGCTTATGTGCCTGATTCTCAGCAAGGCAAAGACACCATGAGTTGACAATGAGCTCTCCAAGAGCCTCTAACTTAGAAACGGGGTTTAAGGTTTATATTCATTCAAACCACCATCTCCAGGAATGCAATTTTTGTCTCCTGTCTCTGCCAACCTGTGTGGGCACAACCCATGAGCAGGGGACAGCCAGACTGGTCAGTCCACTGCATTTTAARGAACTGAAATGAATAACAGAAAAGCAATCTGACACCAAAATCTATCAAGCTGCTGCAGTCTGGAGGAACCCAAGGGTATCAAAGAATACTCCCACTCCTAGTGCTTTTCCTGAAGTGGCAGATCTATGGACACACCAGGCATCCTGGCAGATCTCCACTTGGCTGGGATAATATCCTGTGTAGAAACAAATCCCAGAATGGTTTGGGTTGGAAGGGACCTTAAAGCCCATCCAGGGCCACCCCCTGCCATGGGCAGGGACACCTTCTACTGTCCCAGGCTGCTCCAAGCCCTGTCCAGCCTGGCCTTGGACACTKCCAGGGATCCAGGKGCAGCCACAACCTGAGCAATCTGTGCCACAAATCCAGCCCATTTACAGGAAAATCCATGCAGACAACTGATCTAGCCCTCAACCACAAAACATAGTGTCCTCCACACCTCACACAAACTGTTCACTGTTACAGACAAGGGAATTGTCACTAAAGGAATGTAAATACAAACAAGGCACAAAACAGAGAAACCAAGTGCAAAAGAAAAGTCATTTACCTTCCACCATATTGCCCTCTTTCTGGAAAACCCTCTCTTCACACCACTGGCAGTGGATGAGATATCGGATCTTCTTGGCCGAATCATCGGCGGGGGTCGGGCCCCGTAAAACTCGGACCACCACCAGAACAAAATGTTCCAGAGCTACTGTCACCAACACTTCAATGCCTTTGTTACAGCGAGCTGCAGCTCTGGCAGGGAGAAACACAAACAAAGCCCAAATTGTACTGAATTCAGCAGGCAAACATCGCAATGGACACCTGAACCTGCTGCACGGCTCTTGAGCTCAGCCACTTCCCAGAGAGGGAATGAAGAATGGAGAGATCAGGAAGAAGTGTTCTTTCTGAAGTGCCTCATTTTGTGTCCTTCCTGGCAGGCCAAGCAAATCTGATTTTGCTTTTTTTCAATCACAGCTAGAAATATGGTCTGCCACCTGCACCATCACACGTGCAGGGAGARGACAAAGGGAAATCTAAACAGCTTCAGGTCAGCATTTGTACCCTGGCAATCTCAAAACCTTTGGGATTTCATTTCCTCCCAATCTTTCCCTCTTGTCTGTACCTTTTTTCTCCAATTAGGTTTTATGTCTTCWCTTATTTAACTGACTGATACTCAGRGTATCTATATGCAAATAACTAATTTCACAAGTCAGTAATCATATCCATCTTTTGAACCTCAAGTGTGAGGATCTGAAGTGAACATCAGGTTCCACTGAAGAAAGTCTGACTGAAATCCACAGCTAGAACCCATTCAAGCAGTTTAATTTGTATTTATAAAGTCCTACACAGCTCTAAAATGGCAAAACTGATAAAGAAACAGAAAAGTTTGCAAGTCTGGGTATYTTCTTTTTCACATTACCATCCCACCCTTCTACCCTACTGATGCATTTTCACCTTGCCCAGTCACTAATTATTTCTAATATTTTTTTTAGCCTAATTGGAGCTGGTTTAGCAGTACCTTGTGACAGCAGCAATGATAGYCCTGGCTGCCAGCTCCTTGTAGTACTCTGTTCTGACAATATGGCAGCCATAGTGACGCAGGGCCACGTGCTGAGCCTTGGCATACAGGGAGCTGATGTCTGTGGATGTCAGCGACACAATCCCAAGGTTTCTCACATTTCTAAAGGCAGAGTCCAGGTAATTCACAGAAGTTCCAAAGGGGTCCAAATGGCTGAAAAGAAATGAAGCATCACTGAATGTCTATAAATGTTCCAGAGTCTGGCTTCACCCTCAGAAAAGCACTGTTTTATAACCTTCACCTATGGTCACATCTAAAACAGAAAGAAGGAAAAGAACTAGAATTTCCAGCACTGCTTAGATCTGGATGTTAACCAAGAATAATCCAAAAAAATCCCATCACTTATTTTGATGCCTGTCTAGGGTTTGAATGTATGCTTCTATATACCCAACCTGGAATATYAGCCTGCTTTAATTCAAAGTTAACTGCAAAATAAAAACAACAGATGCAATAAACTGCATGTAAAGATACAAATGTTAAACTAAAAGAAGTTAAAAAGAAAAGGCTGATTTGACATTTTCCTTCAGCAAAGACAATGAAGTTGTGAAAAAAACACAGTTTGGCTTAAAGCTATTATGCATATTTACAGTTCATTCTGGATGTCAGAAGGGCTAATGTTTTTCCAGCAATTTCTAAAACATTTAAATTCTGTCCCCACACCATTTCTGGGACAACAAAATTACCTTTCAAGTGGCTGTTGGTTGATTCTTGCATCATTTCAACTTCTCCAAACAATCATATACTGGGAAGTGGGGTGGGGTGTGCCATTACCAAACCAGGAAATTTTGGCAGAACAATTCAACACTTACATGAAATCAAATGATCTCAAATGCATGATGACATTGGCATCCATTTTTGTCACTTCAATGGTGTCACTATTTTCTTCTCCATCTCCCACAGTTTCATCGTTGTCTTCTTCATTAATGTTCAGTTTCACCTTCATTTTGTTTAAATGACAATTTTCCTTAATCATTGTCACAGAATTCTCATTACAATCATTAATTGTAACTTTCACAGAACTTCTCAGATGCTTTGCCCAYTGCAATCCCATGATACCTGAGGAAAAGCAGAATTCATGGACATTAAAGTAACTACTTTTAAGAAGACCACTAAACTTTATAGTAATTTACGGCCTTTCAGAGAGCCTTAATACAGCTTTTGATAGCTGCTTTCTGTATGGAAGCTCATGACTTCCTGCCTAAGGWAGAAAATAATTGTGTGCTTCACATTATTTTTGAGAATGTGATGGCAGTTAAAAAATTTCTGCAGCTTCTTCCTATTGGGTATTAAGCAAAATATGGAAGAAATGGACTTTACCAGTGGCACCAAAAGCATCCAAACATTCAATGGGTTTGCGCTCCCCAGCAAGCACGGCCAGTGCACAGAATATCAGCTGCCTGGAGGATACAAAAGAATGGCCATAGTCACTAAGTTTAGAGAATACTTTTCCTTCCTTTTCCTTATTTATTTCCCTTTAATGTAACAGTAAAATATTTAAACTAAACTCTACSTTTCAGAGAGAAGTACTATAAATCAAAAATGTCAGCTATGCTGAAAACTTTAGTTCTACAGCAGCATATTCTTAAAGTAAGATCTACTAATTACAGCAAAATATTTAATTGCTTCAGAAATGACAGTGTTTCACATGTAGTGCTCTTCAGTATAAATGTTACTTGTCAGGAGTTTTCTGATGAGAAACTCCTTTTTCCTGYCCTCTGAACAGAAGTTTTGAAAGTTTTCAAAATATGTATTTTTCATTACAAACTCCCCACCCCTCTGGTGCATCCTCCCAACTCCCTGCTCTCTCACCTGTTGAGTTTCATTTTAGGATTAAAATAGGAATCTGTTTTCTGAGGTGTGGAGTGGTTGGGAAGAACCTGCACATCTGTGGCTGACTCTTTCACCATCTCGTAAGGTGACTTGGGAGCACGAACTGAAACAAGGAATTGAGGGGGAAGGAAAGAATCTGTCAGAACTGAAATTAATATTAACACAGCTGGTAAATTACATTGAAAAACTGCTCCCAAAAAGCAAGAAGTCTGGGTTATGCTGAAATCCAACAATGCACCAGTTTACAAGGATGAGGGGGGAAGCAAACAACAATTTATCTTCTAATCCTGAAAGTAAAGATCATGCTCTACCACAATTTTCTTCTCATAAAACATGAGATGTGTTTCTTAGTTGGGCTCTTATCAAGAAATCTGCCTACAATTTAAGAAAGCCAGCCCCTGARCCTGAGGCTTAGCACATTTATTTTGAATGTTTAAACATTATGCATAGCTAATTAATTAAAACCCTGTTAACATAATCCCRAATGTGTATCAATGAACTGTGAAAATCCCTGAAAACCCTTGATCGAAGTTATCCAACAGCCCCATGAAATGTGCCTAACAGCACAAGCACATGGACAATTACAGCACCTGAGCTCTGYGTGAACAGCCTGTTGCAAACCAAATTTTCATATCTGACAGGCTGTCATTCTTCTGAGCAATTCATCCCCAGTCTAAAATTTACCTGGCAATGACCAGGAAAAATCCTRTCAACTAGATTCCTTCCAGTGGCCAGCCTGCCTCTCTCTCAGGGCTTTCAAACACACACATGATGTATCTGCTCTAAGCCCCAAAGCTGCCAAGTGCATCTATCCTCTGGATTTCTCCTCTCTCCATGAGGAAAAAAACACCTCATGCATTTTGTTAAACACTGCTAAATGAGCTGTTCTTTACTCTCATCTCTGAAGGGCAGCACAGAGATTAATGTATTTCMCAGCACAAACCCTATAAAGATATGGAATATGGTACTACTGTCACTTTTTAGACATGCAAACTGATGCCCAGGCATCCAACTACTGGCATTCCAGATATTTTGAATGTTTTTAACCTAGTTTATGCAAATTTAGAAACCAAAACCTCATTCTGGAAAAAGTCAGGTAGGACTGTAATTCACCCAAGGACTACTGACACCCCTATCAAGACTCTAGGACTAAAAAAAAAAAAAAAAAATTATCTTGTTTTGGGAACCCAGGCTGGTGCAGTTTGAATAAAAAAAGGATTTTTATGTTTCATAAAGATTCACTCCAGACATTTTGTTCTGTGGATGCCATGTCCCTGCTTGTTTTGGAGACAGAGAAACTGGTATTTACAACATTAAACTAARTGGGAGAGGAGTATTAGTTATCAGGAACAGAGGAACTGGCCAATGCAAGACTACATCACAACTCTGCTACACTTCTGAGGAAACTAAAATTCTGAAATATTAAGGGCAGGTTYTTCATTAGAAAAGCTAACTGTGTTTCTAAATTTTTCCCATGTCTCCCACTCATCATCACAGTTACAGCACATGATATATGACAAAAAAAGGCTGAATGTCTCCAGCAGGTCAGAGCCCACCTGTGATAAACCTTGACTCAGTCTCTCCTTTATTCACGTGCCGATTGATGTGACCGATCATGTCAGTTCTCCGTATGATGGTTGCTGAGCAGATGATGCAGTGGTAATGAGCTCCCATCTTGGACAATGTCTGTAAAACACAATCTGTTATGTAATTTCAGAATACAAAAACCATGGTTCAAGTAGAACTGATCACGGGAATGTGAAAAGTCATCTGTCTGTTACCTTTAGAGTACTCAAAATATCTGGAATCTACAGCCAAAGCTGATGTAGGCAGCTGTTCCCACACCAACAGAGGTGCAACCACATTCATCTCCTCAAGGTTCCATCAAACAATTAGACCCTGGACCAACAAACTTTTGGCATCCCACACACAGCAGCGAGATGTATTTGTTGACAAAGCTGATCTCAAAAGGTCCCCTCAGTCACCCACTGCCCCCATTTTGTATAGATCACATTTGAATTTCTGTGATTCAGTATCTTTACCTGGTCTCCAACAAGGTTGGGTTTYACTGGCCGACAGGCTAAGTGACAGATGCACATTCTGTACCCTGGAAAACAAAGCCCATCACAGAACAGTAAATGACCAGCATGGCTGTGACCTGCACCRCATGCTCTCACTTCAGATTTCACAAGGCAGCACTAAGAGAACATCACTAATTACCTGGTACATTCACTCTCTGCACAGGGAAATTTATCAGCTATTTATACATTTTAAATTTTAAAATGCAGAGAATCTACCATTTATTAAAATAAGTCTCTGAGCATCCTACAAAGCTGCACCAAATCTCCAGTTACAAAAATATTGTTACCTCGTTGAAGGGCTTGTGTGAAAAATCCTAAAAATTTATGTTCCACGTTTAAAGAAAACCAAAATGAGATAGCTGATACTCTAGGTGGAACAYTTATAGTTTATCTTGTCCATCCTCTAAATAGAAATTTGATTTCCCACAAACCCATACACCTAGATTTTTAAAAAAACACACACTGCTCACTTGCTTTTCCTTCCTAAACTTTCTGTAGGAATTCTGATGCATCTTACAAGCATATCACAGAGTTATTTAAAAACAATTAAAGCTACTTAATACTGATACTACATAAACACCCTCAAGTTTTTATCTGAACCCACRGAATCTTTATGATGCACCAAAATTGACCCATGTGTGTGTCTGATTATTATCAATATAATCAAAAAACTTTTATTGAAGTAGTTTTCATTATACACACATTTTAAATTTTAGGTTAYTTTTCACAACATGCCAAGCAATTGTTGGTGTTTTTCTAAAGAAAAAATGTGCAATTGTAACTATTTTGGCTGGAAAAGAATACAGCTCTTTCACACTTACATTTTACACCCCACCTCAAAACCCATTCTGTCAAAATTTTTCTAATTCAGAATGGATAACAATATGGTGAAGTCAAGAGGAATTTTGAAAGATGAAACACAGAACACACCCACAATTTCTCCTTGTATTTACTATCTAAACCCAATTGCCATTACCTTCAAATTCAACAGAAACCTTCCAGTGCAAATTCTGCAGGTGACGGTGAAGTTTGTGGCTATAGCAAGCTTTGAATTTCTCCTCAGGACACAATGGACAAGGTTTCTTCTCATCTGAAAATACAACTAAAAACAATGAGAAACACAAAATACAGTTACCACTCCTGTTAACTGAGATGCAGGCCAAGAGAAAACAGGCTGAAGGTAAAAATCAACAAAAGTCAAAGATGAAATCCCCAGAGAACATTTTATTTCATGCATGAACTTCAAATTTATGGGTTGCCTCTTTCTGCTCCATAGAATATAGACCAAAATCACTGACTTTAAATATCATTAACTTCTACAACTTTTGGGGTGTGGTTTCTAGTATTTTTTACTCCAGCAACGTAAGACTAATGCAACTTCTGAAGAGTACTGAGAAACAACAGAATTTTACAGATGACACRCAGGGACTAGCAATRTTTAAAAAAAMAACAAACAACMCAWGAAACCTAAATCCCCACAAATTAAGAGGCTAGAACAAAACTTTSTTATTTCAGCTCCTGGATCTTTTGRATAAAACAAGCAGCTGGCATYTCTCTAAACTGCAAAAAAAGATAAYGTACCCTATATAAAATATTTTTTCTTGAAAATCCTGCACGAGAGACACAAAGGCAAGGCTGTGTAACAAAGGTGTTGAAGCCCTTGAAGTACTAAGCTAAACAAAAAGTAGCTGAATGCCAAACAATCTCTCAGGCAGAATTTAGAATAAATCATAAAGCTCTTTTTCACTAAACTCCTAGTCTTTAAGTATCATAAATATYTGTACTGTGTTAAAAATAAAAACTAAAGGAATATGTAAATCCCTGTAACACAAAAATCTGTGTTCTGGGACTTCGCTGTGGTAAACTCACCTTCTCTCAGATCAGCCAGTTTCTCTAGATCAGCGAGGTGTCTCTGAATTGAAATGTGTTTGTCTAAAAAAAAGCCAGAAATATGTAGAAGTTAAACATTCTGAGCTCTAAAACTGCTTTTAGTTTACTGCTACTTTTCTATGCATCATTTTCAGTTCTGGCACTGTTAGAAAATGATTGTAATTGTAATACTTGTTTTTGTCCTTTAACTTCTATGGCAGCAGGAATGACTGCACAAATTAYCCCTAGAATGTCTCTTTCATAAGATCCATATATTTTCATATATTCATACTCCTTTTTAATACTGACACACATAAATTTTCTCAAATTGGAAAGATCTTCACTTGAAAAAAAAGGCTGAAAAGATCAAGTCACATTCCCTTTACACCCAGTTGTATTGCTCAGCATTGATAGTGAAGGCAAATCAGGCACAAAAGCAGTGCAAAAACATCCTATGAACTGTCTAGCAAAACTAAATATCAACCAAAAGTGGGCCAAGTTTAAGAACAATTATTCACTGTAGAGCCAGGATATATTAATGCTACCATTTTTTWTTCCTTTCCCTTAGTAAACAGTTTAACCTTTAAATCTGTCACTTGATTTTCAACTTATGGGTCAGAATTTGCCAATACCAAGAAAATTCAGTYATTCAGTAAATCTGCCTTATTGGTTCCAGCACACTTTACAGTAACACAGGTTCTGCAGTGACTTCAACCCTTACAATGTTTTTAAAAGAGCAATCTTCAGCTTTTCCTATGCAAGGCAAAGCAACTGATCCACGTGCTCAGGACACAGAGATGAGTTTTAAATTGAGATTTCACACATTCCCTTTACCTTTCCTCCCWGCTATTTCCACCTTTCCTCAAGCATATGGCACAAATATTAGGAGTTTATTAGCAAACCTCTTGGGTAATCAGATGACAGATCCAAAATGTTGCTATCAGATTCCCTTGGGGGCTCTTCCTTGGCTCCTTTCTCCTCAGCTTCCAATTCTGGCTCAATTTTCACATCCACGTTGTTGCTCTTCACTTTTTCAGAGTCCACCACACCATCTTAAAACAAAAAAAAAAGCATAATAAAAGTGTTGTTGAGGTAACTGCACTGTACAAACACGCTCATTTGTTTTCTGCAATCTGGTGCTGACTACAAGTGTGAAGGAGGAAAAGAAATTATGTTGGAGAATTATGTATGAGATGAATTATCACTCCAATTACCCGTGGAAACCACTGTGGAATACTAATGCYATCCTGGACAGCTGAAATGACTATTCACACATGAATATCAGATGCTTAAAATGAACAAAATAACATTTACACATTATTTTCTGGCAGGATRAAGAGAAGCAAGGCAAAGCAGGCAAGGAGGAGCTCCAAATTCTGACAATTTACCAGTGGCTAAGAAAGTCTGATAACAGTTTAGAATAGTTTACAATTCAAACAATCTGAAAAAGAAGGGAATAAGGAATTTCTTATCAGGAGAGGCTATGATGAGGTAAGCGCTGGTACCACCAGCATCTGCAAATGAATGACTTCCTGGGGCTTGGCAAGATGGGCCTGGTGAAGAATTTCAAGCACCTGAAGAGGCTGAGAGRTGGGGCAATAAAATGATGAAAACAGCCCAGTACTCCAGGCAAACCTGGGGAAAATACCTGAAGGAAGAGGCAGAACCCCTCAGAAGCTGTGGCCCCATGCCTCACCAAAGGACATTAGGAAGCACAATGAAAGGATTCAGAAAGCTCTATCGATACTGCCCTGATCCCAGGAAGATTCCAGGGATGGGTGGGACTAGGGAAATTTCAATCGCKGTGACAAGAAATAACAAAGCCTGAGCATGGCTTTGCAACTACTGAGAAGCAACAGAGCAGGGCAAGACGTTTCAGCCTGGATGGAAGCATGCTTCCAAAATCAGGAGGTGCAGAGAGAGCACACAACACAACCACGTGCTGTCTATCCCAACACAGAAACTGGGATGCACCAGATGGGGAAAATACGGAGCTACGACCTGGTGCGTGTTTGCATTTATTTCCAGAGGATCCAGGAATATTTGGCTGCTCTCTGGATGGGGCACGTGGCACCCTGAGATAGTGGAAGGTGTTCCTGCCCATGGCACAGGATGGGCTTTACATCCCTTCCAACCCAAACCATTCCAAGATTCTCTGACTTCACTGCTCTTCCCTGTCCACCTACTGCTGACCACAACTTAAGACAGGCTGGAAGGATCTCACAGCAGCTCTTCAGATTCCCCTGGACTACTTCTRTTTGTTTTCTTTCAAACATTGCTGCTGGGTACAAATATCTGTYATTATGAAAACAAAACAGAAAGAGGAAATGGAAGGAATACCTCAAGACAGGGGCTCAAGAAACTTTAAAAAAACAGAATCACATAGTGAAATTATTCTACCTACCTCAAAAAGTATCAGGAGCTGCACTGCTATGCAAAGATTGCTGTTGTGTTCCTCACAGATCTGTTTATAAGCTGACAACTCACCTAAGAAAGACTTGCATAGAGCTTACTGCTCCATTAAACTTGCAGGATTCCTGGGGAGTTTCTATACGCTTTGTTAATATAAAGATAAAAAGAAAACGAGTAATTTGAAAGAAGYTTGGTAAGAAATTCCTGACAGCTATTGATTAGCTGCGAGGGAAGTGGAAACAGTTATAAAAACGTGTAGTGGGAGCAGAGCAGTGACAAAACTCCAGCAGAGCTGGACATTCTGCATCTTCAGAGCACGTGGAGTGGTTAAAATGCTTGAAAAGGAAAATATGCATAAATATACATAAATATAGTTAATATGCACAATGCACATGGAGAGAGGTAAACTTTCACGCTGAATGATGAAGAAAAGCAGGCTGCTACCGACGCAAGACCTCAGGATTTTTAACATACCCATCAGGAATCACTGATTACGCACAAACAGAGTAATCTGGGATGCAGAGAGCCCAAAGTATACTTAAACAAAAAAACGAATTACTTAGAAGAACCAGTTCACTCGAACCGTAAGGCTGGAGCAGCAAAGGCACCTGTGGGGGCTGGAAATCCAGCAAAACCCGCTTACAGAATCCTAGAATCACAGAGGGAGTCAGGTTGGAAGGATCACGGTGGTCCAGCCTCCCTGYTTCAGCAGGGTCGCCCTTGAGCACATGGCGCAAACACGTTTTGGTTTAAATCACTGCAGGGAAAGATGGAAYGGCTGAACACGCGCCGCCCCCCGGGCTCCCCACGGGACCTCACGGATCAATAAATGAGCACCGAAAACAAATCATCGTTAGGTCTGGGGAAGAAAGAAGGGACAGAAGCGCGGGTTGAAGCAGCTGGAGGCCCGGCGGGAACACGTGTGGCCCCGCACGGCGCCAGAAGAAGCAGAAGCCTGCGCCTCCCAGGGCTCCCGRCGCGGGCGGACGGAGAAGCGGAAAGCGGCTCCAGGCTGTAAATTCAAATTCGCCCGGGCTGTACATTTAAACCTGCCGGGGTGTACATTCAAACCCGCCCGGGCTCCGCATGGCGCCCTCCCGCCCACCCACAGCCCCGGCACGGCGGGCCCGGCTCCTCCGGCTCCCCCGGCCCGCCCGATCCCTGCCCGCCCTCACTGAGCGCCGCTTCCTCGCCACCGCCGTCATGGTCATGGTCATGGTCATGGTTGTGGTCGTGGTTCTCGTTCTCCTCCTCCTCCTCCTCCTCCTCCTCCTCCTCCTGCCGCAGCATCAGCGCGTCCTCAGACAGCCCAGCCGCTGCCATGTTCGCGGCGCGGCGCTGCCCGCTCGCTGAGGGGATCGCTCGCTGAGGGGCCCGCTCAGCTCGGCCCGCCCCGCCTACACTTCCCAGGCGCGCCCGGGCCGGCCCGGCGCTCACCGCGGCGGGGAGGAGCCGCTCCAGGCCCGGCCCGAGCCCCCACCGGCTCCGACAGCGCCGGGGGTCCCGAGGGGCAGCCCCCAGCGGGTGAGGCGGAGGCGCACGGTGCTCTGAGGGGGGACCAAGGGAAGGGGAAYGGGCGAAGGGAAGGGAGCTGTGCCGGCAGCGCCCCGGACGCCGTGCGGGCCYCGGGGCTCTCCCCTCGGAGGCAGTGAGGGAGGAGGCTGCCGCCCCTCAACCGCCCGTGGAGAGGCTCCCTCAGAGGCCGGTGCTGCCTGCGCCTCAGGGCGGAGCCGCTCCTGGGAGTCCCTGCACGGTCTGGGATGTGGGAATCGCCTGGCTGGGAGCTCCGAGCGAAGCTTTGCGCAGTTCTCTTGAACTTCCTGCTGGGCTGCGCTGGGCTGTGTGGCGGGGCTGGTGCGGGCTGTCACTGCCATCCCCCATCCTCGRCAGGGAGCGAAGGCCACAGTCACACACCAGGGACTGCCTTGGAGAGCTTCAGGTGGGATGGAAAAGCTCTCCCAGCCCATGGAGTCCAGTCTGTGCCCGATCCCYACCCTGTCCCCAGCCCAGAGTCCTGAGTGCCACGTCCAGGCGCTCCTTGGACACCGCCCGGAATGGGGACTCCAGAACTCCCTGGACAGCCCCATCCGCTGTCCTGTGATCTTAAAACTTGGTAATGCGATTAAATATTAAAGCATGCTTGTCTCTGCTTGTTTGCTGGGACAAAATAGGTGTCTCTGGGGAGGTGTAATCGTTGTCCTTTCTGCTCTGACGTTCCCTTAGACGTGAATAATTAACCCTGTTGAGATTTGCTGTGGCTCTGCAAAAAGAAAACAAAAGAAGACTATTGAACTATTTTTCTCTGTGCACTTAAAATCTATTTTTATCTCATCTGGAACTAAAAACCTGACACAAGTAATAATGACAACTCTTTCTTTGAAGGATTTGAAGATGTCTAAAAAGAAGCTGAAGAAACTAGCTGGAAAGGAAGACTCTTTGGATGGTCAGGATGACAAAGTAGGAGCAGAAATAYTGTTAYTGTTATTATCTTAATTTAGCCCCCTACATTTAAGAGAATGTGAATTGCTTAGCAGCCTTGTGGTAGAAGGATGAATCCAATTTAAAGATGAGGTCATGAAGAGCAGCAGGAGAGTTGAGTTGGTCAGATATTGATTGTGTTTTTCTCCATAGGCTGTGAGTAGTGTGAGGAATCACACAAGAGACTTTTTTAATTTTAGTATATCTTTCTAGTTGAGGAAAGCTGGGCTTTAAACTGTTACTCAACCACTGCTATTTTCTTAGATTGTTCTGTATCTTGGATCATATATCTTAATTTTCTGATTAACCACAAGTTGTATATCCCAGCATTTGTTTGAGTGACTCTCAAATATTTCCTGCTAGCCACTGAAACATAAACTAATGACCAAAATTCTTGGCATCATCTTGTACGTACTTGTATCTAGTGAGTCATCTTTCACTGAATCATTTGTAAAATGCAGGTGCTACAGGGGTTATCATCTTTCACTCAGTGTAGCTTCCTGTTCTTTTTTACTGTTTATGTCCACTTCTGGCAAGTTACTGTCAGAAGTGCAATACATAGTTGATAAATCAGTAGTTTAGTAAATACTCACTTAAATTTGCTGGGGTTTTTTTTTTCCATGGATTTGGCAAAGAATATGTGAAGTGAGAAATCTTCTAACTGTCTTCTGAGAAGTTTATTGGAATTGTTAATTAATGAGCATGATAYTATGGCCTTATAAACTGAATTATTTGTGTTAGTAGCTTTTTGATCATGGAGAAAATGTTGTTCAAAGTCAGATATTTGTTAACTACATTTTCTTGAATTCCTTATTCCTCAATTTGGCTTTTAAGATTAACTTAGTCTAAAGTGTTTTATTGGTTTCCTTTTTTTGCTTCTGTAATACAAAGAATAAACACTTGGCTTCAAACCTTATACTGTGGTTTACTGCCGTTGCTAATGCCTCTGCCAGTTTGAAGAATACAACTTTAACAGCAAAAAGATAAGGAAACCTTATAATAGTAGCAAGTGCCCTGTAGTGTGATGTCACTGTGGGTTGGAGGTGTCTCATACCCCAAACTGATASTGCTGGGAGGAGAGGAGCAGTAAGGAAATTTGCTTATGATGACTAAATTAAGTGAAAACTTTTGAGAAAAGGATGAGGTGGGTTGAAAAGAAATATTAAAAACGTCATGGAAACTCATGGTTGTCAGGAAATAGGCCTTGAAGAGAGAAGTGAATAACTGAGCAGCTGGAAATGGGTTTGATGTCACCTGAAGTTGTGCCAGCAGTRTCATGAGCTCCACGTACCCCAGGAGAGCTGCCTCACTGCCTTTGGACTGGTGGGGACAGCACAGGGTTGGATGTGACCCCAGGGGGAGCCTTTGGAATTGTCTGTCATTCTGGTTTTTCTGGTCCACTGCTGGTATTGGTCCTGCAGCTCTAAACCCAACCACAGGCAGAAGTTCCCAAATTGCCTTAATTTAGGATTCCCCAGGTTTCTGCAAGCCTTTRATTTTTGCATTAATTGCTCTCTGGTGTGGAAGCAAACCAGCTAAGGCTCTCTAGGTAGGAAGGATCTCKGCAGCAGTGACCTTATGGCATCACTGAATCAGCACACCCCAGGTACTGAAGGAATGAATTATTTCCAAAAGGACCTTCTGTCTGGAGCGTCCTTATCCAAAATAATCCATATGTTACCATTCTCTGTTGTAACTTTCTACACCTTGCTGTGGCACTGGGCAAACTGAATTGTGTAACCCCAAGGGGTATAACTTCCTGCCTTGTGAGACATGGTTTTACTGGAGTGCCTGTGAATCGATCACAGTAGGAATGTCACTGAGWTCTGCAGCTGTCATTGTTCCAGTGGACCCTGTTGAATCACTTTGGAGCATTAAAGTGCTCCATGATTAAATCAAGAAGTACTGCTAAACCCCTGTGCACGCTTATCTTTGTATGCACGTGCTTGGCACTGTTTGTTTCTCTAAGCAGCCAAACCACTCAGTTTTGTGGTTGTCTTATGAAGCTTTTTTTTTAACTAAAATTTCCTCTGTAAGCCCCTGAATTATTTTTTCTTTCAGAACTCTGAAGACACTAGATCTTACAAGTGCTCTGTRAAGGGAGAAATAGAACTTCAGAGGCAAGTTCTCACTCACTCTGTCATTAAATGAAACTTAAAAATATAACAATCACAAATCCTTTAATGCTGAAGRCTTTTTTTGAACCTGTTCACCAAATAAAATACGGTGTTTTGACCAGTCTTTATTTGGATGTTTTGAACCTAGTATACAGTAAATACAATAACTGAGTATTTTCTCTGCTCTTACAAAAAGATTTCMTGCTAATTTTTCATATAATTCAAGATTTCTGGTAAAATGTTACTATATTCCCCTCTGTTGTTTCTTTTCCAAGTTCTCCAGTCAGTACAGGATAAACAGTTTGAAAGCTGTGTGTATTTTGGCACTGGGTGATCAAGCCGACCTGTTCGGTTTACACACACCTCCTGAAGTGCTGTTAAAACTTACCTGTGTGATAAGAAGAAACTCGACTGTGTAGGGTGTCTGTGAAGCCAACAGTGAACRCAGAAAAAGCTTTTTCTCCATTTTCCTAAAGCTAAAATGACTGTAACAGTGGAGAAAAGTGAATCCAAAAAATGCTGTATCAAACTATTTTAAAGGGCAGTTCTTGCTCCAAATTCACGTTTAAGAACATGGTGCTCATAAATACTTAGCTCTAACTGCCAAAATGAAATGCAGGTGCCCTTTTTGTTGCTCTTTTCCATTAACTGAGCTGAATCACATCACTTTCTTCCGGATGTTTCTGTAGATCCAAACCAGAGAAGGACAGGCAAGAGAAGAAACGACACCAAAGTTCTGGTGTTTCCCACGATGCTGGTGGAAGATCCCAGGAAAAATCTCCAAGCAGGGGCAAAATTTCAGATGGTTCTTCAAGTCAAACTGAAAAGCAAAAGAAAATAGTGATCCAGTTTAAAGCCAAGGAAATCAAACATGGCAAAACCACCYGCACTCCTGATGTGGTGAGTGCCAGCAAGGAAAGAAGTTGTGATGGAACAGAGGAAAAAAGGCTCTGGTACAGCTTCGAACTTCAGAGGGACAAGGCACTGAAGAAAAAGAGAGAGAAAGCCGAACTCCGCAAACTTAAGCTAAAAGCAGAGCAAGCTATGATAGAAAAGTTTAAGTCCTCTGTGCACGAGGTACCACGTAAAATGTCAGAGGGCTCAAAAAAGCAGGCTGAAGATTTCAGAATTCCCAAAAAGCCACCTGACAGCTCKGCAGGGACTGCGCACGGTGACAGGCCTGCCACTAAGGAGCCAAGTGCATTATCCATCTTCTGGGAAGAAGAAGAGGAAGAAGAGTACAAGGACTTTGCTGTGAAAAAAAGGCACRCAAGCAAACACAGGTCATCACACTCCAAATGTGAAACTCAGCCACGAAGGCACTCTCGGAAGCACAAAAAGCATGGCACTGAGTCTCCTAAAGCTCCTGGGCACTCAGGAACTAAACAAGGGGACTTGGAAGCCACACCTCTGTGTTTTAAGGAGGTAATGAGAACCCAGTTCTTTGTATTACGTCGATGTTTCAGGCAGGTTTTTCCATGGCAGACRGATTTATGTGAGCAGACTGTCTTACAGAACCCAGCCGGTTTCATAGCTAACTAGGTGGGTTTTTCTGATCCCAGTGTAAACCTYGTTACCACGTTCCTCAGCTGAATGTTAAACAGACCAGAAGAGTAAAGGTCTTGTAAGTTGGGACTGTGTCTGCACAGGCCCTTCCACAACTTTGCTTTGCTGCTGGGGTGTGGAATACTTCAGTTTCAATACAAATCAGCTGATTTTTTGTTTTGAGCTGACATGATTATTTCATTTGTTGAACGAATAAACTGAAGCAATGAAAACTTGCAGCCAGACAGAGCATTGCTGGCAGAGTGATGCCAGGAGARCTTGTTGTGGATCTGGGACTAAATTGGTATGTGTGCTGCAGAACTTCCCTTTTGTGTATGATGGGTTCATTTCTGAGCTCAGGGTGAGGGGCAAGGCCAAACACAAGCTGGATCTTGAGTGTGGGGGTTTTTTTTTTTGCTGTTGTTCCTGTGTAAATGCCCAGTGTCTTTGGGGATTCCAGTTGGTATTATGGTGCTGTGAGCATTTTGTGTGTGTGCAGAGAGAGTTATTAGGTGCAAAGCCAGGGATTCATTGAGGTTGGAAGGTACCTGTGGAGATCATCCAGGGTCAGCCAGAGCAGGTTGCCCAGGACAAAGGATGGAGACTCCACAAYCTCCCTGGGCAGCTTGTTCAAGCACCTTCAATGTAAAAAAGTWGGGGGTTGATGTTCACATGGAATTTGCTGTGTAATGCCCTGTTATTTATCGAAAGGAAAGCTGTGCATCTAAGCCCTACTGAAATGATACTGTAGGTGCTAATAACTGTGGTTTATGCTCCCTGTTCATTTGGGAATACCCAGTATTCTCTAAAAAGCACTCTAAAATATATGTTGTACTTCTGTTCCTGCTTGTTTCTAGAATGTTGAGGCCCCATGCATGTCTGACTCCTGCCAGGRAGGTGAGGGCAGAAAGCCTGTGCCAGTCCCAAAGGTGAGTGAGAGACTTGTTAGCTCTGTAGGGCTGTATTCCAAAACTCCTGGCATGGGGAATCCCTTGTTCTGCAGTATTCCTTGGTTTTTGGTGGTGTTGGAAGGGTTTTTTATTTCTCCCTACAGAGATTTGAAGACTTTCCTCTCCCTCAAGACAGTCAGAACACAGAAACAGACCAAGAGGTTGGTAATGCTTTCATTTAACATTTCCAAGTTGTCTTAAAGACCATGGTCACTGAGGTTGTGTAACTGGACAATTCCATGACCTTTCCTAGTATTTGGCATTGTTGGCTCATGATCTGCACTCCTAAAATGTGGAGCATTTATTAAAAAAAGTGAGCAAACTTGATAAAGTGCTGCTAATGAGGGACTTTCTGAGATAAACTGTCTTTCTGTTACCATGTGCAGCACAGGGGCCTTCACAGTTGCTCACATGCTGCCGCTGTTTCATTTTCCATCCTCTAACGTTTTAGTTGGAAAAGAGACATTTTTTTTTAAGAAGTGCCTATTAGCAAACTTGCAGTTTGTGTAGCAAAAAAAAAGGTATCAAAGTTTTTGAATAGCAGGTAGAAAGGTCATAAATCTTTCTAGGCCATATTTGGAATGTCTTTAGTGGAGCATATGCAGAAGTTCTCATGGCTTTACATATCCTCTACTGACTTAAAATTTTTCAGACATTATTTTGAGGCAGTTTTAACAGCATTAATGCAAAAGTACCTTTTTTGTGAAGAATTATGAAGTGATTCCTTGCAGTGGATTGCACACATACCCATTTTCTCCCTGTAGATGCAGATAGTTGAAGACTTGCACGTTGCTCGTGTGGAGAAGAGGATGGCCCTGTCTGTAGTACAGACCTGTGGAGAACTTACCAGCATGGAGATAGACCTTCCAGAGCAGGATTTAAATGTTTCTGCTGGTATGCCATGATTGGATCTGCTTTGCTCTCTGCTTGCAAACAGTAATTRCAATTATTGATGGTCTCAATAAGGAGCACACAACTGATTTTTCACTGCTGTTTGCTCTCTTTTYCCCCAGGGGCTTTTAGTTCTGGTCTGAACATCCTAGTGGTGATTGACACAAATATAATGATTAGTCACCTCGAGTTTGTGAGGTCCCTGAAATCCGAGGATATACCAGGTATGTAAATATGTTCTGATGAAYGAGACATTGTAAGAAAAACAGGTGCTGTAAGAACTTCAGCTTGCCTGAAGGAAACCAAGCCCGGGCTCCTTAAAAAGGCAGCGGGTTTCATGCAGGGGCAGGAGGCTTAGACTTGAGAGCCTGGTTCTGTGAACTCAAACAAGCTRCATCCTAGGGAAGCTTCAGCTGTGGAAACAGAACCCACTGTACTTATAGTCCATGCACCTGCAGAGAATCATGGCAGATATTCCCAGGAATATGCTTGAATTCYTAGGGGTAAATAAGTCTTAACCCTTTATAAGAACATAATTTAAGCATGTAACCCAGTAGTGATGATAACTCTGTTTTCTAGTCTCCTTTTAACATTTCTTTTTCTAGAAAAATGATTTGCAATGTGTTGAGGAGTCAGTCAGTGCTTTATTTCTGTCTTGGTAAAGGTGGCAGAACTGAGCAATTTCTCAGGAGTTCAGAATGCAGACCCTGGTTTTGATACCTGGCTCTCACGTGCTGGGAAGCTGTTGGTTATTTACTGTGTGCTGTACTGGGATTGTGYGTGTCACTCAGGCTGTGAAGCTTCAGCTAATGAATACTTTTATTCCAGCCACYTGGAAAATACCTTTCCTAAGGGCCTGAGTGATTTTCAGCAGTGGGGCAGACTGTATTTCTCCTCCCAATTTAGGGAGGCTTTTGTTTCACATACACTGGGGTGCCCTTTTGGAACACTGCAACTCCCAGTTTCTGGTCCTGCACTAGCCTGTTGAGAAGGCWGCTGATTCCTGTTTATTGCAAAGCAGATGGTCATTGATGCATTTTTTCAAAATTGTGTTCTCACAATGTGAATGAGAAAGAAAACAATTGAAGTACTTGGCATGGTTGGACCAAGAGAATAGTCATTAGACTTCTGATTTACCCTGTACTTCATATAAATAACTTTAAAATTCAGCCCAGAGTTACCTACAAATAAAACCGTGGTCCAGTATCAACAATTCCTGGTCACAGGAGTGCTGGCTGGCAATGAWCATGAGGCCTTGCTGCTTGTTTTTGCTGCTTATTTTGCCTCAGTGACTGCTGTGGTCACTCAGGTGGGTGCAGCCTGGTATTCCAGCTGCTGGAATATTTTACAGCGAGTGTGTGCCAAGATAATTGCTGTTAATGTGTTTCMTAACATTGGCACTGATACTTTAGGATTTTTGGCTTCTATATTTTTCATGTGTCTGTATTCTTGTAATTCTCTAGTGCACAGTGCTGAGCTCCTGCTCTCCCATTTTAGACAAAACAATTCCTCTCTAGGCCTCAAACCCAAAGACACCTCACTGCCTCAGSGCCCCAAAATCTGTAAGCAACAGTGAATTGGGGGGAGCAAACTTGGGGTGRTTGSCRTCATCACCTGAGGGTGTCATTGGAGAATTGGGGCCCAGTATGTTAATAAGACAGAACTTAAATAAACAAAAAAACAATATCTCAGTGTCCATTTTGGGTGTAGCCTCAGGAGGAGGCTTTGTCTGCCCTCAATGCATCTGTAGGCTTTCATTAAATCTGTCTGCTTTTTATTCTCCTAACTTTGTCTGGCCTCTGTTTCAGGTAGCCCTGTTTCAGGCATCACCACACACTGTTGTTCAAAGTACTCTGCTGATGAAAATGGTGTTTCCCTTTTGTTTGCCTAGTATTGTCACTTTTCCATTTAATCAGCGTAGTGCCACATTGAGGTTAGATTAGACAGAGAACTCAGCATTTTCCAGCTCTTTTTCAAATGCTTTTTCTTGAGCAAGGAATATGAAAATAGGTGAGTGTGAACTTGCATAAATGTGATGCATGGATTAATGTGGCTCCTGGGAATACCTTTGTTTATTGGTTGTGATTTGTTTGTTTTTTTCTTCCAGGAGTTGATAGACTTGCATTAATAATTCCCTGGGTCGTCCTACAAGAGCTGGACAATTTGAAGAAGGGGAAAATGTTGCAGCATGTCCGGGACAAAGCTATCCCTGCGGTCCAGTTCATTTACAAGTGTCTGAAGAGCCAGGATTCCAAACTCTGGGGGCAATCCATGCAGCTGGCTTCTCAAAAAATGTGTAATACATGTGCAATCCATTTGTGCTGGGTACTTCATCCTTGCACTTCAGCTGGTGGCAACCTTAGAGTTCTGAGTTTAATGGAGTCTTCATTGTACACTTGCTAATTAAGATGAGCTAATTTCTTACAGCAGCCTGCAGAGTGTGTCCAAGGCTGTGGTGTGCAAATGCCATATTAATGGTAGTGCTTTGTGCGCTATTGTTTTATCAGCTGTTTCTTTCTTTCGCCTTACACTCCTGTCCTTGTGCAGGGAGTATTGAATGTACAAACAGCACCACCAATGCACTGAGGTGTTTGTGGGGCTCAGGGAGGTCTTTGTGGGGCTCAGGGAGGTGTTTGTGGGACTCAAGGAGCTGTGCCCACCCCCTCACTGTGCCTGCCCTGCCTTTGCAGATGGGCTGAGCGACGAGAACAACGACGACCGCGTCCTGCAGTGCTGCCTCCAGTACCAGAACCTCTTCCCACAAGCACTTGTGGTCCTCTGCACGTGAGTTGCTGGGTTCCTTKAGCTCTCCTGCCACACTGCTTTCAAATCAGGGCCTCAAAGGAAGAGCAGTTTCTGGAGGAAGCTCTTGGAGGACGGAGTAGAAGGATATAATAAACCACAAAAACTGGAGATGGAATCATCTTTGTGTGCTTGAGGCCTGAGGGAGAATTATGTTCACTCAATATTCAGTATAAGAACTTGTTAAAGCATAGTTTTCTCAGATTTCATTCTGGTTTCTCATATTACTGAAGTTAAAAACAGAAAAAACCCATGAATTAATGATTGAGATCCAGTTAGAGACATTAGAGACATTATTCCCATTTACAGCCAGGAGAGAAGAAGCAAACAAGGGGCTCATCTTAGGAAGAAGGAAGCTGGGGATGGATTTGCTGCTGTTCCTGTTTGTGAGGATAACAGCTTACCTCTGAGTATTGATTGTGAATTTGAGAAGCCAGTTTGAAGGGCTGAYTCTCCTTGGCTCTGCTTGCTCTGCTCTTGGCTAGAACCAGTTCCTGTGTCGTTATAGGGGTTAAAACTCTGGGCAYCTTTGGGTTGTTCAGCTGACAGCTGACAATTTCATTGCAGTCACAGCATTTGTAGAGTATTAGGTTTCTCTGAGGAAAGAACAGGAGGTCACTTGAGCTTTTCATCCAAAAATCCCTTTATCCTCCACCAACATAAGCAATGGGAATTTTTGAGAAAGCACTGGGATGCAACTGTGCTGCATTTTTGTACTAGTTCTGCTGGAGCAGAACCTCAGGGTGGCATCTGGGATAATGATTTGGCCAGTAAAACAGTAAAAAAGGGTCTCAGTTAGGAGAGTTAACTATAACCATCAAATAAGAGATCACTGTCTTAGAATGATTGCCTGGTTTGCTTTCTGAAATTGTGGTAACTAGGTCTTGCTGCTGTAGCATTTACAGCTGCTGTTTTCTTGAAGCAAACCTAGMCCCTGAAACACTTTTCAGTATATTTCTCATTTTTTCTCTTTTCTGCTTTAATTTTTGAAACTGCTTCCAATTGCTTGAGAAAGAATCTTTGTGTATATAATGAAGTTTACAAAATAATTTGTCCAAATAAAGTTTTTTCAGTGTTGCTTTTATTCCTTTTATGTCAACAGTTAATTTTTCTTCTAGGGATGATAAAAATTTATGTAATAAAGCCATTGTGAGTGAGGTGAAGGCATTCTGCAAAGCTGATCTGGTGTCTGCTCTGCAGAATGTGAGTGCACACAGGCCCCAGAACTGTGAGGAGCTGCAGCAGCCAAAGCAGGGTGAGTCAGTGGGGTGTGCTGCTTTTGGAGTKTTGTAAAAACCAGTGGGGCAGAGGGAGAACAATTCCTACCATACCTTCAGTTTTCCTGTGCTTTGAATCCTTAGCAATGATTTCTGTTCAGGGAAGGTTTYTTCAAAGGTTTTCTGAAAGTTGAGACTTTCAAATTGAACCGTCTGTCTCAGAGTTGTAGGAAATTCAGATACGATGATTTTTGGTTTGTAGGAAAAAATACAGTGTGAATTTCCTGTGTTTAAAAGGTGTCCTGAACTTTTAGGATTGAAAGAGGTTTTTTCATTTTTCCAAAGATGAAGGTACAGCCTGCAGACCTCAGCAGTGATCACTTTGTACTCACTGATAACGCTGCTGGCTGTATRTGATCTAAGCTATTTAAGGCAAAAAGAAATGTGAAGTAGGATCACTGAGTAATACTATGGGAAAATTAGGCTTCTTGGTTAGTAGCTCTTAATTAAAAACACCCACAGTACAAGTGGGCATAACTAGAAATRCTTGAAACCTAATGAGGTGCAGCTCATCTGCTTTATAAACTAAACATAAGGTGCAGTCTGTATTTATTTATGGAGACAAGTTCTTCATGCACCATCAGCATCAATTAGATATAAACCCAGTTGCAATAAATCCCTTTGATGTCATTGGTTTGGCAGGTACAGAATTTGGGAAAGCAGCAAGAGGCGATGCTGGCTTTACTGCCCAATTCCCAAACRTGCTTCCAGACCTTGAGAAGAACTTGGGAGAAGCTTTGTCTTGTATTTTGGAGACGGAAATGAAACTTGCTTTTGGAAACCTGTGGATGGAGGTGGTTTCTTACATCATCTTGATTGATGTTTTGATTATTGAGAGGTTTAAATGTCCTTAATATTTTATTACTGTTAATACCTGTATCAGGCCTAGCCCAGGTCATCCAGGTCCCTGATAGAAACCGTTCACTGACAGGCACAGCTCAGTGTTCACTTCAAGTGCTTCATTTTATAGCAAGATTRTCCTGACCACTGATGTGCAACGTGCAGTATTTTAATTGCACTTTAATGACACACTAAGAGGGTGCTGGTTTCTCAGTGTGAATTTTTGGAGTTCTTTTTGTTGGTGGCATTAAAATTCTATTTCAGATGTCTTAGGCAGGTTAAATCCCTGCACTGTAAATACATCCTGCCAGAAATGATTCCATCATATTCTGTGTGATACTGAGGCACTTGTTGCARGCATTTCTTCCCCACCAGAGCAGATGTCGATAAAATTGTTGACAGATGAATGGATTCCAGTGCAGATACAGAATGGTGAGGGTATGAATGAGAACCTCCAAACACTCTTGCARAAGTATTGCTTGCAGAAGAGAAATACTCATGTATGAGGCACTTCAAATGGTCCATGTTTTGCTTTTGATTCCATTTTATCACTGGTGGGGGATTGTTAAGGGTTTAAATCTATTGCAGATAAAAATCATGGGGTGACTGTTGTTTCACAAGCTGCCCTGATTAGCTGCTAAGCTTGTAGTCACTTCTTGATTCACTTAGTTAATGTCTGCTAATGTCTCTTCCAACACTTGGTTTCACTTGATAGTAATGAATTTCAGGTTTTTTGCAATACATATTTTACTTTATGTATAAATAGTGTTTATTTTTACTTTGTAAACAGTACTGGAAAATCAAAGGCATTTTCACTGTTGTTCTTCTTGTTCTTGTTACTTTTGTGCACAAGTAACTTATTAGATCAGTTTTGGAGTAACTCAAAGAGCATTTGGGATTTTTTTGAGGAATGGGGCCCCAAAAATCGTGAGACTGATTAATTGTGCATTAATTGTGCATGAACATCACTGTTTAATCCCTGCTTCTGCTGAATCAAATCTTTATTTGATAACTTGGTTAGCTCTGAATATCTTATTTCTGAGGAATCACTGGGATTCTCCTTCAGCAACCACAAATCATCACTTTATTGGGGGACAGAGCAGTTGTGGAATAGAGAGGAATGTGTCTAAATGAAAACCAGCCTTTGAATTGATGACATCCTCTCTTCCAGGTCCTATATCTGAAGCCACCATGGACCTTAGCAAACCTGCTGAAGTGTTATAAAAAGCACTGGATGGCTGTTTTTGGTTACGTGGTGCCAAGGAGTTTACTTTYAACCATTGAGTGTCTGTCTAAACACCTCTGTGCAGGTAAAAATCCCTGAGGATATTAATTGTAAACTTGTAAAAACCCTGTTCTGGTTTGAGTTATAGAATTGTGTGTATTAATTGTTACCAAAGCTCTGAATTCTTTTTCAAAAGCAAATCATCATTTGCACCCATGTTATGTGTGACCAAATGATCTGCATTTGCCAAATAAATTACGGAGGAGCAAAGGATATTTAATGTGGCAGATGAGGGCAGGGAGGTTGGTTTTCAAAAAAAGCCAACCAAAAAAGAGATGCCACAAACCTTCCATTTGGTTGAGGATGACTTTGAGCATTTGATTTTGACAGATAGAGCTGTTAAACCCTTGCAGAGGGTGCTGGGCATTGSCCCAGGGGTGCACAGGGTGGGATTGGACCAGGACAGGGCCASAGGTTGGACTTTATGATCCCTGTAGGTCCCTTCCCACTCAGGAGATCCTGTAATTCCATGGTTCTGCCTCTTCTGGGATATTGCTGTTCTGCAGAATTATTCTAGATATGCCATGATCCACCTGAAAATAAATTTGGGAGACTTGATTAAGAGAAAGTAATCTCGTTTGTGTTTCTCTGAGATTGTTTTAGCTGATGCTTCTGAACCCTTTCCCAAGTTTTTTCATGTGCYTCACTTAATCCAGGTATTTGAGWATGAAATTTGCCTGCCAAGACTGYTAACTCTTAATGKTTTTTTTTTTCTCCCTCTCACATGAATGTCTAAACATCAGATAAACCATTTGACTCCTCAACAGTGCGTGTGCTGCTCCAGGAATCCCAAACATTGCTCCAYGCTTTCAGCACCAGGTCAGACTACGATGGTGTCCTGCCCCGGGCTTATGCTGAAGTGACAAAGCTGTGGGAGACCCTCGGGGAGGTAAGGGCAGCTTTGGTGTTTGTCAACCTGACCCCATCCKCCAGCTGTTCCACCTTCCAAACCTACCTTAGAGTTCTTAATTGTTCCCATCATTTCCTCTGATTACTCCAGGAAATGTTGCTGGAGTGTTTTCTAAATGAATAGACACTGACTTTAACTTTTATTTTCATGCAGTGAATATCTGCTGATACATTTTTTTCCTAATATAAATGTGTTAGTATTGGAAGGGTGACTGAAAACCATCATTTTGTTCTGGTTTTCTATTGCACTTGTAGCTGATGGGCCTCAGGGATTAAACTTGGTGTTTCTCCTTCTGCCATCTCATTCCACCCCTGCCATGGGTGGGGACACCTTCCACTGTCCCAGGGTGCTCCAAGCCCTGTCCAYCCTGGCCTTGGACACTTCCTATGGCAGGGATGGCACTGGATGGGCTTTAGGGTTCCTCCCAACCCACTGAGAGAGGCTTTGGATGCAGAGACTGTCACCAAGGTGACGCAAAGAGTTCAGCCTTTCTTTAAARAACCTGTAGAAGTGTGTAAATTCTGGTTTTCTGAAGTTAGGAATCCAATACATTGATTATTTGTTTGCTGAACTGTTTTATAAGGTGAGGGCAGACAGTGAGCAGGATTTATCAGAAGACATCATGGTTCTTTCAGAAAATGCWGTGTGTGAAACAATGGAAGCCACGACGCCCAGTCTGCAAAGCACTGAGGAGAAAGAGCTCCAGCCCAGCTTCCATGTGGCTCAGGAAAACAGGCACCAGGAAATCTGGGCAGTCCTGGAAGGTGTTTGGAACACCATGAACTTGTACAGGTACAGCTTGCTAACGGGGCTCAGAACTAACACATAACCTCAGATAACTTTCAAAGAAGCACACTTTAGAAATTATGCTTTTTTCTCCCTAATTAATCTAAACTGACCCCGCCCCCAAAAAATTCACACAGCCTGTCACACAAAAGTTGGGAGCATGCAAATTGTTGTGTCAGTCTTCTGCTCTTTTTTTGGGCAGTAGTTGAAATAAGTTGCCCTGGAAAATGGTGTTGGAAAATCCCACAAGTGTGAGACATCCATGAAATATCTTGTATTTATCCATAAAATAGCATCTAAGATCTCRATTTTCTTGTGGTTATTTTCTTGCCAAACCGAGTGGAGGTCTACTAGCTTATGCAAAATTCTATATCCCATTTTAAACCTTGAAAATCAGTTTGAAATATAAAACATTTTGTTGCTTAGCAAAATCCTTCACTTCATAAAATGCAGAATCTAGTGATGAATTTCCTTTCTCACGTAAACTCAGAATTGCAGGAAATTAACCTYTCTTCCATCTAGATGTTTTACTATTGCTTTTATATTGTTATTTTTGAAAAGTCTGATGGAAACTCACTGGGATGCCATATCTTTTGCTATAATCTGAATAGGTACTGTGTTCTCTGTTTTTTTGTATTAGTCTGGAATCTTTTGCAAGGAGGGGCTCTGAGCCAGCCAGGCACAAAGGAACTCCATTCCTGGTGGTCTGATAAATAACTCCAGCAGTGCCATTTCTGCACTGCCATTATTCTGAGACTGTTTCAGATAGAGTGGGTTTAGTATAGGTCTCTATTTGACCTTTTTGTTTTAATAGCCAAAATCCCAGCACACAGCAGACACTGGGTTTCTCTGAATTTGGAGKTTTTTTATAAACTGCTTTTCTGTGTCTCTCTTTTGAATCTCAGCATTGAACTGTTCCAGAAGCTGGAGCCCAGTGCAGTGAGCATGGCTGCCAAGGCCTCGTTTGAGGAGGCTTTTTTGGGGCTGCAGAAGCTGCTGGCAGCAGTGAAGGACATCCGGGAGGGCATTGGCAGGTGAGTACTGCAGCTGGGCACAGCATGGGCACCTCAGGTCACACAGATTTTTTCAGATTCCACCCTCAACCCGCTCTTTATTCTGTATGCTTTGTGACATGGCTTTCAGTTAAAATTCTGGTGTCAGAGCTACCTTGGACCATTATCGGGAGCAAAACATCATGGAACTGCTGCAGACACGGAGATCTCTTGTAGGGAGTTGGCTCTTTTACGTCTGGGATTTGTTTTCYAGTGTTTGACCAGCAAGTCACCTCTGCTCAGGTGCTCATTATTAATGATTAATKATAATGATTAATACTTTAGTCCTGCTAGCAAGAATTTTGAATAATTCAGGGCATTTGTGTCTCAAATGTGAGGCCCACTCAGATGGCAAAGTTCCAGTAGAGTGAAGGATATAAAGTTTTGGGAATTTGCTGTTCCCAATCCTGAAGTATTGTTTGTGAGTCAAAAGCTGTGTCACAGCCACAGCAATGGCTGTCAGCTGTTAGGAAGGGTAATACTCCCTCTGTGTTCATGGAATCACAAAATCCCTGAATGGTTTGGGATGGAAGGGGCATCAACGCCCATCCAGTCCCACCCCTGCCATGAACAGGGACACCTTCTACTGCTCCAAACCTCATCCAGCCTGGCCTTGGACACTGCCAGGGATCCAGGGGCAGCCACAGCTTCTCTGGGCACCCTGTGCCAGGGCCTCCCCACCCTCACAGGGAACAATTCCTTCCCAGTATCCCATCTATGCCTGCCCTCCCTGCCTATCCCTCCTCCCTTTTTTAAAAAGCACAAAAATTTGGAAATTTCAGGAAGAATAAGAACTCTTCTGTGTAGTCTTGACATAGTCCTTTTTTCATGGCAGTCTGAAATAGAGACCCATTCAAAGAACTGCAGTTTTTCTGTCAAATGTTAAGGAAGCAGAAGCAGAAAAATACGGGTAGAAATATGAGCTAGGGCAGCTGAGTGCTAATGGATTCAGTTGGTTGATGGTGGGATTTTCCCTCTAAGGAAATTGTTCTAATCAAACAGGTTAGTGCTAAACTTTGCTGTCTTCATTCCAATCCTAAAGTTACTGCAACAGATCCTCGGGTATCAGTTTATGGATGTGCTGGATGAGATTTAATGGGAATGTGGAATATTCAGGATTTTTCTGTTGTTCATTCAAAATTGCTGTATTTTAAGTGAAAGCTCCTGTATTTCTTTGTATGGGAGAGCTCTGCAAAAGTACAAAATCTTGAAACAGGCTGGTTGTTGGAATGGGGTGGTTTTCGTGGGCCTTTTGGAAATGCCTGCTCTGATGTGCASGTTGCAGTAGGTGGGACTGTGGAGCAGGAAATGGGGAAAATCTGCACCAAGYATTCCCTGCTTTGGCCTTGAGTGGAGGGGTTTAAGCGAGTTTGAGACTTTTCAGGAGCTTTTCCGAAGAGTCAGGAGCCTGGTTGATGTCTCAATGTAGTTTTATGAATGTTACAGAGTATTWAAGCAAAAATCCAGAAACTTTTATAAAATCAGAATGGTTGGGGTGGGAAGGGACCTTAGAGCTCTTCTGGTTCCACCCCTGCCCGGGGCAGGGACACCTCACTTTCAGGTTGCTCTAAAAATGACCTTGCAGTATATTTCTTTTTCTTGATTTTTGAAAAAATACCTTTCAGTGACTTAATCTAATGGCATGATTGCAGGAAAGGAAGCAATCTGGTAAAAAGTTTTATACTGGGGAAAAAAACAGTGAGGAAGTTCTCTCTTGACTATTTGGAGGTAACACAGCTTTTAGTGATAAAATACAACTGGTTCTGTGTTACCTTTGGACCTTGCTGTCCAGAGCAAAGAAAAGAGAAAATATCTTGGGAAAGTCTGTAAGTTTTACCAGTAAATTATAGTGAAAGTGCAACTGCATTAAAAGTTTAGATTTTCAGATTGTTGAAAACAATTAGAAAAGCATGATGATGCTTTCTGAGATGTGATGATGCTTTTTGAGATGTAATGATGCTTTTAATCATAAAAAAAATACCACCCCAATACTGCCCCAGCTATCCAGGCCTGATGGCCAGAACATGTTAATGACAAATAAAGATATGAAACAGGAAAAAAAACAAAGCTTTTGGCACCTTACCCTATTCTGGTGACTTTTGTCACACTGTGCAGGTTTCTCATTTTATCTTGCCTTCTTCCTGTGGCAGCTTTGGTAGCAGAGTAGTGTTCATATTGCAGAATTCTGCATGCCAGCATTGCGTTCCAGCCTTCAGCTCTGCMATTAAGAATAATCAGTGTGGTTAGCATGTTCTATCTTTTATACCATTSCTACTGGAAATGAGCAAAGGGTATCAAAGCTCTGAAATTTAAGCATCCCGTAAAATTGTGAAACGGTGACATGTTTTTAAAGAATTTAGGATTGAGGATTTCTGAGTGTTCTCACTGGAACTGTTTGTTTGTGTTTGGGAACCAGTTAATTGGGGCACCTCATTTAAGGTTTCTTTAATTAACTCTCTAAAATAAAATTATAATTTTATTATACATAAAATTAAAAGGGGTTTAGCTGACGTTTGCCCTCAGCTGAATAGAACTTGTGATTCCAAGGTTTTGTATGCACCCCTAGGGAACTGGACATTGTCTTTATGTTTCCTGCCAAGTTTCTTTCAGATAAGAAATCCTTGTTTGTAGAAAAGAAAGAAAATTCAGTCTTTGGTGAATTGATACAGTTATTTCTAGTTGGATTTTTGTTTTCATCTGTTGGCTAAGAAAKAATTTTTTTGTTCATATGCCAGTTCTAAAATCACTCACAGCTTGCAGCATATACACTTAGATACAGATCTCCTAAACATTTATACTAATATACTGTTTCCTGTAAACGTCTTTGTTACTCACTGCATAAGGAGCCTGAATTGTGSTTTTCTAATATTTTATCAAAATGGAATTTCTTTCACACTCCCAATGGGTTGGGAAAGCTGTGGTTTAGGCAAGGGCTACACAAATTAAAAGTGTGATTTCTTTAGATTTCAGCAGTGCAGGAGAATGTTAATGTGTCAGAACTGATCATTGTACTCTCACTGGAGGAGGAATTTTTCCTGAGCCGTGGGGAACACTCTGGTTCCCGTTGGGGTCTGTCTCCTTTGCCCCTCATGCCTCAGGACAGCATTTAACCCTCAAATRATAGCAAATATCCAGAGTCACTCCTTGGGTCTTCCCAGGACATTTCTTYTCCACCTCACGTGCTCAGTGTTTCCAGAAAGCTCTGTAAAGCCATACTGGAGTTCTTAGACTGAAGTTCAKCATGTGGGATGTTGTGGTTTGGTTYTGCTGATGGAAAGGCAGAGCAATTCCATGGATTTCCACCCTCTGCTTTTGGGAGTGTGGGGAGAGAAGCAGCAGCAGTGGTCCCAGTACTGAGGTTCACATGGCTGCTTAGAATGGTGTGATATAAAAGCCTTTGCTTCAYGATTTAGAGGAGGTTCTTTGGACACAGTTCTGGAGTTGAGGCAGACTTTTCATCACTGAAGAACTTCYATGAAAACAAGGGCAACTTGATTTAATGAAGGAATAGAGGCAGAGTCAATGCTCCTGGAGACAGGTCCAGATTTCCCAGGCTACAACACCTTCCCTTGAGTGTCCCTTTTCCATAGCACAGGATGGTGGCCCCAAGAGATAAGAAGAACATGAAGTGATTGAAAGCAGAGAGAGGCAATGGTGGTGTGAAATCCTTGCTCTGCAGGCAGAAATGTGGCAGTGTTGTACAGCAGAGTGTACCCCCAGCCAGCAGCGGATACTGCAGCCCCTGTTTATCTGCTGTGTGTGAGTGCTGACCTGCTGGCAATTGGGGGTGGGGGGCTCAGCAGCTTCCCRGAGCTCCATATGCAGTGAGGGCTCTTCCCTCAGAACAGCAAATCTCTTTAATTTGGAGCTGCTGTAAAACTTGGAGTCCAATCTCAGCCAATCTCCCACAGTGCAGACCCAGAAACAATTGGCATCATCCAAGCAAAACCCAGAAAATAATCCACAGCATTTAACATTATTGTTAAATTGATGGTTATTGWCACATTTTATTTTGGGTTTTTTTCCCAAAGAACTGGAGGCCCCRTGGGTTTATTCATCCTCCTGAGGTYTTGCAGGTACWCCCACTGAGTTTGTTCYCTCCATCCTTCCTCTGGAGAGCTCCCCCAGCCAGGCTTCCCCTGTGGCAGTGGGGTCACCTGTCCCTGAGTGAGGGACAAACAGGGATGGACAGATTCTGCCCCAGCGTTTTGGGACAGCCTTGGGGTGAGGTTATTCACAAGCCCTGACCTTTTGCGGTGTGTCCAGCCCTGCTACAGCCTGGGGGCAGCAGCCACTGGGCTGGAGGGCAGTGATTGTGTCAGGGAGAGGCCTCTCAGATACTCAGCTCCTGCTGCTGGGAGAAGGGGGGCTGGAACTGCCTGGAGCTGCTGGGGGAAACTGGGAGTGGGAATGGGAATGGGA